GAAGACCTTGCAAGAGCTGCCACCAGTTTGTGTAAGGTAAAGGTAAAGGGACCCCTGACCATTAGGTCTAGTCATGACCGACTCTGGGGTTGCGGTGCTCATCTCGCTTTATTGGCTGAGGGAGCCGGTGTACGGCTTCCAGGTCATGTGGCCAAAATGACTAAGCCGCTTCTGGCGAGCCAGAGCAACGCAGGGAAACACCATTTACCTTCCTGCCAGAGCAGTACCTATTTATCTACTTGCACTTTGAGGTGCTTTCGAACTGCTGGGTTGGCAGGAGCAGGGACCGAGCAACGGGAGCTCCCCCCATCGCGGGGATTTGAACCGCTGACCTTCTGATTGGCAAGTCCTAGGCTCTGTGGTTTAACCCACAGCGCCACCCGCGTCCCTACCAGTTTGTGTAGTAGTAGTCAGTATATTCAGTTTCCAATGATCAAGTATAAAGTAATCAATTCAGTTGCTGTACCATTGATGAGTGGCAGATGAACACACGAGCTGGCTGTTAAATAATGTGTTGGAGCTGATAGATACATTTTTGCCTGGTGGTGTGCTTGTGATGGCTCATCATGCAAGCATTGTGTGAGATGCATGTGTGGGAACCAACTCTGATCAGAATGCAACTATCCAGCCTGGCCTCAGCATTTCAGCTGAGACACTGCTCTTAAGTGAAGCACTGTGGCTGTTTCCTGAATCTTGCAAATTATGCTCCTGTTCGTGCAACCTTAAGTGACATTTGCTGTTAAATTTTAGGGAACTTGAAACATCTGATTGCTCATCAAGCTCATTAAAGTGGTTACATGTATCTGCTCTCATTATTTGCCAAGTACTTGATATTTACACTTAATAGTCTTCCAGCTTTGGAGAAAGGCACGTATTGTCTGATGAACTCATCAGCTGTTTCTCTCCCTTCCCTGATCCCACTACCGTATCAATTTAATTCCAAGATTTCCTTCTTTCCTTGGTTTCTTTCTCTTCAAAAGCTATTTCTTCTTGCCTCCCTTCTGTTCCTGAAGGCTTATTTTCCTGAGTCAACCTTTTGTTTAAACGGCAGTGCTGTCAGTTTATAAAATGAAAAAAAAAATGACTTGGTAGTTCCACTAACTTCTTAAATCTTTAGTAAACTTCTGGGCTCTCTTCCCAAAATGGATACATTTGTTTTCGTAGCACCTCTACACTAATTAGGTGGCATACTTAAGACAATTTGTGCTTTCAAATGATCCATTTTTAGTAATTTGAATCTTAAAGGATTGGTACCAATATTAGCAAACTGATATATCTATCAAGTCGATGATTAGATGATAGTTTATTTGGGGTTTTGGATGAACACTTGCTCTAGCACTTCCTTGTTCAGAATAAGTGACAGGAAATGTATTTGGCAGAGGAAGCAATAAACATTCCATGAGTATTTAGAGGCATATATCAGATTGCTCTAAGAAGAGGCAGAGTTGGATGATTTCAGTTACAAGCACACCAAGTTTTCTTTTGTTTTAAAACATGCAAAATCATGCCTGCGGTTACTGAAAATGAATTTCGTAGTTCTTTTAAGATCTGAATTCAGTAGCAGGCAGCATTCAGTTGTTTTCTGATACAGAAAATATTAACTACAGAAATTTAAATAAAATCCAAAGTTAGATCATGGGGAGAGAAGGGCAATTTATATGATTAATTTTTTAAAATTAGGTCTTAGTGACTGCAGAGAATGTTCCTGCTAATAGCTCCAGCTTTAACTTCAACTCGCAGTGGGGCATCATGAAATATTTAAACAGAGATTTCCCTCCTGAATCTGTTGGTGTTTCAGGATGAATATTCTTAAATATTCTTAAAAACGATAAGATATAACATTTACAAAGAACTGGTTTGCAATAAATATTTCATATGTATATAAGTTTATATCTATAAAAGGAACCTTTCCACCATTAATAGCCTTATATACACTGTGCATATCAGACACATTCTCTAAGGAGGGAAGGACCACTGAGCTCGCAAGCTGTGCCACCAACCCGCCGTCCCCCCGTCCCCCCGTGAGTCATAAATCATTTCAGGGAAACTGGAACTTATCCTCTTTCTAATTTGGGGGCTTAGAAACAAAAGGCGGGTTTGTCAAATTCTGTATAATATACAGTCCTTTTCAGAGCTAGATCTTTTTATGCTGAAACAGGAGGGCTCCGCCTTGCCCCAGACCCTGTTTCTAGCAAGGACCTACCAGGCATGTCCAACAGGTAGATCATGATCTACCAGCAGATCACTGGATGTCTGCGGTAGATCACTGGTAGATCATTGGCTCCCCCAAAAGAAGCTGAACAACTGTGGCTCCCCTAAAAAAAGCTTGACATTTTACCTCCTCCCTGAGAAAACTCAACAACTTTGACCTGAACCCCCAAAAAGGGGGTAGATCACTGCCAGTTTTTAACTCTGTGAGTAGATTGCAGTATCTTGGGAGTTGGCCGCCTCTCCTAGCCAAAGGCATCTGAGAAATGCTCAAGCAAATGCACTCAACCCTCTCATGGGAAAGGGCTAAGCTTCCTGAAGAAGGCTGCCTGCGGCCAAGGAGCGCAGCCTGGCCGGGAGGGGTGTGAAATGTGAGCAGGTGAAAGAGATAGGCTCAGGATCCAGGCAGGTGAGGTCCAAGGGGGATGGAGGAGGAAGAAGCAGGCAGGTAGAGGGAGGGAGGAGTGAGAGTTCCATCTGGAAGTGGAGCAACCGAGGTCACGTCAGGAAGCATAGGGGACTAGTCTAGTCCTCCTATTCCACTGACCACATGCCACTGCAACAGATTAAGTTTAGTGGCAGGTGGGATTGCCAAAGTCATTTTTTCTGGGAACCCTTTCCTCTTTCCACCTCTTATCAAGTTACCTGTACTTCCTTGCTAGTAAGCTTATCTTAGGTTTAAGCTGTAAATCTCATTTAAAACAGCCAACTTGTTTTCCAGATTCTTTGTGGATTGACTAAAAGTTTAGCAGCCACTTAAGGGTTCTTATGTAACTCCCCATGAGGGATTTCTTCTTGGGTCCTATCCCACCACCCCACTGTCGTGATCCTCTGCTCTCACTTGCTGACCTAATTCCCTGTATCCTTCATATAAATTGAATCACAGAGTCATTTTGGAATTATTATTCAAAGGAGACTCTGAAGCGGGAAGACACTGTACCCAGACCATTTGAATAGCCATCAAGTAAAACGTGACTGATGTGAACTTAGCAGTAAATGCTCACTTAATCGTTTGCATTACCATACCGCTTAATAAGTGCCCATACTTGATTACATTTTCTATGTCTACTGTAATTTTTTTTAAAAATAATAATTTAGCTTAGTACGATAAATATGGCAGTGATTATTTTCCAGTTCTAAATGCCAGCATAACAGAAGTTAGCTGGAATGGTAATGGTATAAGAAACATTACAACTGTTTTAACAAGACCTGTTTAATTGAGCTAAACTGATGGGTCTGAAATATACAACACAGTATGAACATTTGTTACTGTCTCATTTCTGCGAAGTGTAGTATGTCATCTGGGTGAAGCAAGGAAAGAGGAAGGGATTGGATTTGGAAGTGGGGGACTAGACTGCAATCAGTATTAGGCAAGTTGGGCAAGACTTGAGTTCAAATCCCTTTGCTATGAAGCTATCCAGGACACCCATGATTTTTCGATTGACTTGCCTAGGATCTAGGACAAACCTCTGCTTTTCAGAAATTACCCCTGGACGTCAATTCTGCCTTTGAAATCCCAGTAATGTCTGTGAGAACTTGGATGTATGGCAGCCCTAGCTAAATGAGTGACCATCAGTTTGCTGCTATTTATAAGCCTAATTTAGCTCCTATGTTTCTTGCATAGCACAGATAAAATTTTAGCAACTCCACAAGGTAGAAAAATTATGCTATTATTATGGAGATAGTATTGTTTAGTCACTAATTCCATAAATAAAGGTTGCAGTTTGGACGGATCTGGGAGTTTGCTTTTGCACTACGATTACTGTTCCTCTTTAAGACAATGAAGACTAAATATGTTGTGACAGTTATTCTATAAGACATGCACAGCATGGTGTTAGCTCAAAGATCTTTGAAAGAACAAGCTAAAAAGCACTCTTTCCTAAACCAGAATCCCACAGCATAGCCTGAACGGAAAAAGAGATTTGCTTGTTTTGCTAATGCCACCACCCCTTTCTGGATGAAGGAATCAAGTGATGTGTCTAAATATAATATACCTTTTGCTGAAGAGGACTTCAAGGGTTGCTATGAATTTATTCCATCCAGATTTGATCCACACTTCATTCCAGAATGTGATGTGCTTTCTGAAAAGGCCTGCTTTTATCCAAGAGTTTAGAAGGCTGGATGAATCGCTGAATCATCTGTAAGAGGCCCTGTGCAATCTGGCTGCACATGCTGTGTCTTTTTAACAAGAGGGACACAGAGAGCATGTGAGGTGTTTGCATTTATAGGCAAAAGACGAAGAGAGAACAGCTGATGGAGTACGCTTCGCAAGGCCATAGAGATGGGAAGTCAGTCTGAATTGATCAATACTGAGATTAAGGAGCAGAGGCAGTATGAAAGTAACTTGGAAAAGAGAGCCTCTACGTGTAACGCTCAAGCAACTGAAGCAGCCATTTTGGGGGGAAAGAAGTAGGTGAATTCACTTCTCTTCTTATTGCAAAAGCAGCACAAAGCGAAGACCAGGAAACACCAGGCAGGTTATTAAAAGACGATCCAAAACCACACAAAAAAGGATACAGGGATTTCCCCACATATATTAATAGATCCACAATATTAGAGATGTTTGTTTTATTAAAAGATCTCTGAAATGTTCACAATCAGGGCCGTTGGCTGTTACATGACATCCACAGATGATACAATAAGTGACCACAGCAGGGAAAAGTTCTAACCCCCCCCCCTTAAAACTGCATGATTTGCAAATACAATATAAACAACTTGTGGGACAGTGATTAGTTTCAAACCGGATTCAGGAGCAGATGTCACAGCGGTCTTAGAGGAGACCTATAGAGAATGCTATTCTTTTAGCTCGGTTGCTAGAACATGAGATTCTTAATCTCAGGGTTGTGGGTTCGAGCCTCACATTGGGCAAAATGATTCCTGCATTGCAGGGGTTGGACTAGATGACGCCTGTGGTCCCTTCCTCAACCCTATAAGTCTGTGTAAACAGTCTCAACCTGAATAAAGAAGGTTGTTCTCCATAGTCCAGGAGGCAACAGGTAGCATTAGGCACTTGGCAAACCAGAAACCATGCAAAGCCAGTTTGAATTCATTGTGAATGTGATAAGTGAATACCTCCTCAGTCATGGAATTTCTTGCAGGCATAAGCAAACTCGGCCCTCCAGATGTTTTCGGACTACAATTCCCACAATCCCTGACCACTGGTCCTGTTAACTAGGGATGATGGGAGTTGTAGTCCCAAAACATCTGGAGGGCTGAGTTTGCCTATGCCTGTGATAGAGTAATAGCCAAAGGACACATTATAATTTTAGCATATTGATACTTGTTCTCAAATGAGGACAGAAAGATGCAAGCTGCAATGGAAATCTTGAGGAAGGATGACCTTAATAGCAGCTACAAGGTACAGCCAAATACCAGTTAAAAAGCCTTAGACGGCATGCTTCCTTCAAAGTGGCCTTAATTTACAAAGCTTCTTCAGGTGGTAAATTAGCTAGAAGGGATTATGAGCATTCCCACAGGAGGCAGGAAACACAACATCTAGAGACAGGCTAGGTTTTGGAAACTTGATGGTGAAAAGACATGGCTGTCTCCTGATACCATATAAAGAAGGAATAAAACATTCGGATTATTTTCTGTCAAGATTACAAGCAGAGAGTTTTTAACTAGAATCAGCAACTTCTTCCTGTTGCCGTGAAGGAGCAACCAGTAGGTGTGGAAACGGCACCTGAGAACTCATTTAATCAGACTCTTCCAGAGTTAGCTGAACTGACATTGATGTCAGTAATCACATCGTTGCCCATTCTGCCTGAGTCATTCAGAAAGTGTTGTGATTTGGAGATGTGACTATTCAGTTAATGTCAAGTTATTAGTGGTATTGAAATAATTGTTTATTTTAAACCAAAAGTGGTGCTTGGAGAGCTATGAAGGGATACATAATAGAATGGTTAGTCACCAAGTGACTTGACTATCATGGTTGTTGCTAGTTTGGATTTAGTATGGCATATCCTTTGGCTCCAGTATTCTTGTTTCCTATTTGGACAGTGAAGAATGTGGCTACCATCCTGACTGGTGTGCTGTTGTTTTTTTAAGCCTTGGGTAACTCCCAGTGTATACTGTCATTTGCTCTTTGAATGTGATGAACTAGTTGCTCTGGACTCCTTTCTTTCTTTCTTTCTTTCTTTCTTTCTTTCTTTCTTTCTTAGAAACCGTTGTATTCTCCCCTTTCTCTAAACGGAGCTAAGAGCAGCACATAAAGTCTCCATTTTGCTCTCACAACAGGCTTGTGAAAGAGCTTAGGTTGAAAGATGGTGAATGACCCAAGGTCGTCTAGTGAGCTTTATGATGTGCACCTTTGAATCTTTTTTCAAACAAACTAGGATTGCATTGTACTGCCTTACGCCTTCCTATAAACATAGCATTTAGTGCATGCCCAGCATAGCCGTTGCATAACTGAAATGTCCAGTGTTGTTTCCTTAATTTTCTTCCTTTCTATTTAATATGTTCCTTTTTTAGCTACTCTGGTAGATAAGGAAAACCATGCTTCCTTTTCTGTTTTAGCACAGCACAACTTTCCAATTATCTTGGTGGCGTGGCTCCAGAAAAAGGAACAGATTTTTCTCTCTAAAAAGGGCTTTCCTAGTCTAAATTGTTGTTTTTGTTGTACTGAACTAGTCATTAGGGAAGAAGTCAGGCTCTATTTTTAGCTTTTTTTAAGCTTTAAACTTGGCTTCCATAGCTTATGAGTGATCTGCCTTCCTTTTTGGAGGGGGAAATGTCATAAGTGAGGCCTTTGGGTTGAAGTCGCATTTCCTGTCTTGCTGTGTATGAATAAGTATTCGTGGATTCACCAAAGGCAGAGTATGGGATGAAATGCATGTTTCATCTGCAGCCTTTCTGGACGTGACACAGAGCAAGTCTGAATGGAGATGCTTTAATACAGCTGTTTCAGATATTTCAGTTTGGCTGTTCCCGTCCAAGTGGAGTACAGCTGTTCTATGACTTCATTCTCATAAGCCATTTGAAATATGTGACAACTATCAGCGAGAACAGCCTCAAATAACCCTGGAGGTCCTTTTCACGCTGCATAGAGAACTAGCCTCCCCATTCCCTTTGAAGTAGACATTGGGGGGGGGGATGTATTTCATTTAAATGAATTACTGTTGTCAGGAGTCAGGCCATGCCTGGCATTGCAGAATGACTAATCCTGCTAGAAGTAAACAAGGCTAGGGATGAAGTGATGCGGGACTGCTGGTTCTTGGGTTCTGATGTCCTAATGCAGTTCCTATCCCTACCTATAAAGCTGCAAGTGCCATGAAAGGGGCAAATGGCCAGGAGGAAAGGCAGTAGGGATTGGGCACTCAGCCGAAGCCTGTTGCAGCATTTGGGACACTCATTCCTCCATCTGGGGTCTGGTGTTGCATCCTGGAGAACACATCTGTGTGAAAAATGTCCATTGTGTAGTTTAGACACTAGGTGTCACTGGACTTAGTTGGATCTGGGAGGAAACAGGATTTTTCTGTTGCTGTTCTGTTCTGTTCTTATTGGGGAGACGTATTAAGAGTTCTCATCCTGATTTCTGACTCATATGTCCTTTAAGCCTTCCATGACAATACCTGCACGCTAGAGGGGATAGAGAAGTAGGAGGTGGGATTTGGGCACAACTGGTGACAGGGACTCAGTACTGTACTTAAGCATCCTTTGATTTCAGTTTCAAACACTTTCTGTGCAGATCGGATAATGAATGGCTTGGAGACAGATTTCTTCCAGTTCAAGCTGGCAGTAAAATTGTCTTCATTCCAGGGGGTGGGGTGGGGGTTCAGAGTAGGTTAACATTACTTGGATCCTTGCAGCCTGCAAGGATTTGAAACCCGGGCTTACCTTCTTCCGTCATCTCTTTTTCCAGCTTATTGGCAGAATAGGAGAAAGGCTCTTGGCTTGCCAGCAGCTCCTCCTGCAGATGAAGGGAAGTTATCAGCGCTGTCACCAGCTGTGAAACAGGAGACATGGTTTTCAACAAGAGTGCTGCTGATGTGCCTGAAAATAGATCCAGAGCTTTCCCCCAAAGTGTCCAGAACTGCACTTTGAAACACTCAGTTGAGACTGTGGTTGGTACTAATTTCAGCCCCCGGGGAATTGCAGAACATAAAATGTTGAAGAACTCTTAATTCTAGCTGCGGTGTCTAATATGTTGATAACTGAAAACATATTATAATAAAGGGACATTTATGTTTTGTTTTCCTTTAGGAGGAAGAAGAAAGGTTCTCAGTGTCTCATTTTCAGCAAAAAAACCCCCACAACACATGTACAAAAAGCCTTTGTCTTCCCTATGCAGACCAAACTGCTCTGCTTAAATTTAACAGATGAAGGAGGGATGTGTGCCATTATAAAGGGAATGCAAGGCAACCAGCTGCAAGTGGGAAATTATTACAGTGTACATGTAACCACTTGGCAAGCAGGTCGTATGTATTGTCTTGCCAAGAAGCAAGGATAACCTTGCTACACTTCTGCACCTTAGGGAAAACCCAGGAAGTCATGGGAGTGCTAAGACTTTTTCCACCTCTTGGCAAGGCAATTCAGCTGACCAGTTTATGAAGTGGTCACGTGCACATCATAGTAAGTTACCATGAGATAAATAGTTGTTGGTATTTATCACTCAGCATTCAAAACTCCCATTGTTCTAGGCACGTTTTGCAAGGAGGAATTTAATTAGCATGTCCAGTTTCTGAGCTCTGGGCACAGTACAGTGGTACCTCGGGTTAAGTACTTAATTCGTTCCGGAGGTCCGTTCTTAACCTGAAACTGTTCTTAACTTGAAACACCACTTTAGCTAATGGGGCCTCCTGCTGCTGCCACGCTGCCAGAGCATGATTTCTGTTCTCATCCTGAAGCAAAGTTCTTAACCCGAGGTACTATTTCTGGGTTAGCAGAGTCTGTAACCTGAAGCATATGTAACCTGAAGCGTATGTAACCCGAGGTACCACAGTACTGCACCTAAGATTCAGATTAAAACTGCAGAGTGGAAGGAAAGGAGGACCTTTTTCTGCCTCCCCACTTCCACCCACTCTTTGAAGACTGGAGAAGAGACCCTCATAAGAACATTAGGGGGCAGGCAAGGGAAGCATGGCTTTGTTTTTTGCAGTCTTCAGATGAGGACTAGGCTATGTGAAAAATGAATATAAGATTTTAGCTGCAGTTCATTCATTTTCAGCTTTGTATTCTTGTTATTAAAAAAAGTGCACTTAGATATTCTGTTGTTGTGCCCATAACCTAGGTTTAAGGTGCCATTTAGCTCCTAGCTTTCATATCTCAGTTTCTAACACTGTTATCACTCCGTTCATCTTGTGGGTATGGTACTTAGATTCTATATGGTTTTTATCTAGGACAGGGAACCACATGATGATGATGATGGACTACCACTGTCATAAGCCTTGACCATTGGCCATGCTGACTGGGCTGATGGGAGAAGGAGTCTTAACAACATCTGGATTGCTGCAGTTTCCCCATCCCTGGTTTATGGGATGCATTTAGGTCATTGCAGAACTGCAAATGCATCACACACGCCAGAGGTGGAGGTCCTCTTCTTCAGTTGATGAGGCTGAGGACTCCAAACCAGGAGGGGAAGGCCATGCAGGGCCAACCCCAGAAATGAGCCTGTGGAGCCAGCGCCTCTCTAGGCAAGAATGTGGCTCTACCATCCTTGGACTTGGGAGGACTACATTGCAGAAGACCTAGTGAGAGCAGAGGCTCCACCACTTTGTTGCAGTAGGAGACTGACTACAAAATGTTATGGTACTAAGGGTGAGGAGCCCAGAGGGTCTGGGTAGGCCCAAGGATTGAGGGAGCCCACTGCAAAACCTGTCTCTTCAACTAAGGTGTGCAGTTGAAAAGAATTATGGGGAGGGGGCAGGAGA